TGAACAGTTTGGTGGATCCCCAAAAAGTTAAAAAGAGAGTTACTATATGATCCAGGAACTCCACTTCTAGATATATACCCAAGAGAAATAAAAATGTATGTCTACATAACAACTCGTACATGAATATTCATAGCAGTATTATTTGTGTTGGGCAAAATGTAGAAACAGCCCAAATGTCCATCAACTGATAAATGGATAAATAAAATATATTTATAAGTAAAATATTATATGGAATGTTATTCAGCAATAAAAAGGAATAACGTACTGATACATGCTACAATATGGATGAATCTCAAAAAATGCTAAATCAAAGAAGCCAGTAACAAAAGACCACATGTTATATGATTCCATTGATACAAAGTGTCCAAAATAGGCAGGTCAACAGAGATAAAAAGCAAAATTGTGATTTCCAGGGCTGGGGGGAGGAAATGGGGCATAACTACTAATGGGCATGGGTTTCTTTTGTGGGGAATGAAAATGTTCTAAAATTAGATCATAGTGATGATAACATAAGTGTGCAAACTTATTAAAACTATTGATTGTGCACTTTAAATGAGTGAATTGTGTGGTATATGAATTATAGCCCAATAAGGCTATTTTTTAAACGAATAAACAAAGAACGAGTTATTTCCTTTAAAAAACAACAGCTTTATGTGAAGAATTTAAAACGTGTCGACAAACTCTTTGATACTCTTCCCGTCAAGAGGTCCCCTTCCCTTGAACATCAGTGGGCATATGTGACTGCCTCAACCAACAGAATGTGACAGATGTAATGCTATGTCACTTAAGAGGCTAGTTGGAAAAAGCTATGCAGCTTCTGCCAGTCTCTCTTAGGACACTCACCCTTGGAACTCAGCCATCATCCTGTGTAGAAGTTGGGGCTACATGAAGAGGCCCCTGGCCCTCAGCCCCATCTGAGTTTCCAGCTGAAAGTCAACATCAACTTGCCAGCCAGACGACTGAGCCATAGTGAAAGCAGATCCTCCATCCCCTAGTCAAGCTGCTGCAGCTGATGCCACATAGAGCACCGAGCAGCCAACCTTGCTAAGCCCTACACAAACTGCAGAGTTGTGAACAAAATAAGTACTTGCCAATATTCTACACCATTAAGTTTTGGGGTAGTTTGGCATGCAGCAATGGATAACTAGCCCACCTTATGTACTTAAAGGGCTAAAAACAGCACCTGGCCCCCTACTCAATGCAGACACTTCTTTCTAGTAGGGTGCCATCCAACCTCTATCAGAATGTTTTGACTGACATGGAGATCAGTTCCTCATGAAGCCACCTCTTCCACTGATGAACTCTGGGAATTATAATGTGCCCTATATTAAACCGGTTCTGTCCTGCCCAATATCTTGTCTAAGTTCTATCCTCAGAGGTGATCATTACTATCTGACCGATATTCCTCAGTGCAGGCTTTTACCTTACTAAATAGAAGAGAAATCTTTAGCATTCTCCCATTTTACACCCAAGGAGACTGAAACACAAGTTGGCTGCTTTACCCAAAGTCACACAACAGACACAGAATAAAATGCAGTTACTTGAATCTCTGGTATACAGCTTCTGTTTAGTATTATTTTCTATTAAATATGAGCAATGTCCATACTCAAAATCCTGATTTTCATATTTATGCCATCATTGTTTAGAAGACCAATCCTCATTTCTATCACCTAGGAGAAAGAGTATTGGTATGAGTACCTGTAGAATGAAAACTACCTTTCCTACCACTTATCTTCCCCTTGTTTGTACTTAAATATTTCCTTTTTTAACTCAATAAAACCAGTCAGTTCAACAAGGGCAGGAATAATTCTTATAATTCTGAGTCTTCCTTGGTGTTTGAGTATATATATATATATATTGAATAATTTGCCTAGCTATGGGAGGCAGCATACAGATAATAAGGATAAAAGCATTTCTTTCCAAATGATTTAAACACAAATCTTACAATCCAAAAATATTCCTTATGTCAATGTAGTAATTGCACAGTAAGCTTTTTTCTTTTTCAAAGTCAGCAGTAGTAGTAAATGAGCTTTTTACACTGTTGATTACAGTATATGAATTGCCATGACAACACTTAGTCCCCAGACATTCTGAGACAATTTCTCCCAGCTTCAGTCCCCTAAGACTGACCCAATTACACAACTCAAAACCCAAAACCCAGAGGGTGCCTTTCTATAAAGACATTCTGATTACACAACCTAAGGAAAAACTTAAACACCACTTATCCAAGTTAAAAGAAAACTGCAGGCAATATATTTTGTTTTTACACCTAAAATCTTAAAAGTTGAACGGTAATTGTGTAACTTTAAAACTGTATATGCTGCACTTCATGATCACATTACAGAAGTGTGAATTTTTAATACAAACCATTCTATTAATATACACATAACATATCTCATTTATGTTCTCTTGGCTGTATTTGCATTCTATTCCTTTTTAAGGTACAACTAAAATCTAGCAGCAAGCAAAGCATCACTACACTGACAGAACATTTGTACACTAGTCTATATGTGCCTCATCAGAAGTAAGGAAGGAACTAGAAAAAAAAACTTTAAAATCATGCAAAATTTAGCAAGCTATCATAAATGAGGCAATTCCTAGTGTAAATTCCTAGTAATTCCAAAAAGAAAATGCAGTGTTGGAAAATGTGGTATGGTATCTCCACCATCTCAAAATGTAATCTGGTAATTTTCTTACTCTAATAGTCCAAAAGATTTTAAAACTGGGCTGTTATCAAAATATAATGCTCATTTTAATTAGAAAAATTTTGATTAGTTGAGTTGATCAAGATTTTAACTTTCATTATACACATACCCAGAAGCATAGCTTATTTTACATAATTAGTAACATCTCTTCCACTTCTACAACTACCTAGTAGTGCTCCCAAAAAATGCTCCCTGTAAGCACCAAACAATGTCTACAATTCAAAGTTTACTATATGCTCATTTGGGGTAAAAAGCTTAGATATTCGTGTCCACTATTCTATTTTTCATGTGCTTACTTAACCAAAGAGCAAACGAAAAAAAAACACAGAACACATCCATTTATCTAAAAAGGAGAAAGATTAACATGGGAGATTTCAACTAACCTGAACATTGTTAATAAAGGTTAACTGTAAGACAATTTATTAAGAAGAAATGAGTCAGAGGGCAACTAAGACTACCTGGAATAAAAAGTAAAACCATTTTAGCATAGTTTTAGCCTATGATTTCAAACCAAAAAGCTAAAATAAAAACACACAACAACCTCCTCTATGGCAGGCAGTTTGAGGTGAAAAGCATTGTTAGAAAATACTAAGGCTGACATAAGAAAGAAACAAATCCTACCATTTGCAACAACATGGATGGAGCTGGAGGACATTATGCTCAGTGAAATAAGCCAGGTGGAGAAAGACAAGTGTCAAATGATTTCCCTCATTTGTGGAATATAATGAAGCAAAACTGAAGGAACAAAACAGTAGCAGACTCAGAGACTCCAAGAAGGGACTAGTGGTTACCAAAGGGGAGGGGTGTGGGAGGGCGGGTGGGGAGGGAGGGAGAAGGGGATTGAGGGGTATTATGTTTAGTACACATAGTGTGGGGGATCACGGGGAAAACAGTGTAGCAGAGAAAAGGCAAATAGTGACTCTGTGGCATCTTACTACACTGATGGACAGTGCCTGCATTGTGGTATGGGTGGGGACTTGATAATATGAGTAAATGTAGTAACCACATTGTTTTTTCATGTGAACCTTCATAGAAGTGTATATCAATAATACCTTAATAAAAAATTTAAAAAAAATACTAAGGCCGAGGAAACCAATCTTTTAAAAACCGTGCACTGAATATCTTTACATGATAGGTGCGATATTCTTGTACAATGGAAGTACAGTATTTTCTATTCCTACAAAATAAAATTATGCTATCAAGTACAGATAAGAGAGAATTAATAAGTATACCAGGCAACCCAAGAAACAAGCAGGGACAGAAAAATGGGGCTAAGAATTCTGCAAAAAGCTTCCAATTTTTTAAACCTGAAAGTTGGAGAACCGAATTTACATGAATAAATTCTGCTGGGGATTGGAGATCATGCAGGAAGGTCTATGAAATTAAAACATTAATAAGAAATTTACTATAAAGTATTCGTGGGTAAAGATATGTTGCATTAAGCAAGGAGTTAGCTGTTCATAGTCTTCATTTTTAAAATCTCATTTTGTTTGGAAGAGAAACAACTGGTAAGTCTATCAAATTATTTTACTAAACACAAAAGGAGAACTTATTAGAAAGAGGAAGCATTATGAAATTTGACCGTGTTTTGTGCAAGGCTAGTGGACATTTTCGAAGTTTTCTGGCTATATGCAAAAGTAAAAATAAGGACGTTTTCATTCGTTTAAAGCAAGAGTAAGATATTGCCTGGTTTGTGCTGGTTTTTACCATACAGTCTTAATACACTTTTCAAGTGCGATTAGATTTTCATGATTCCTTTAGGGTAAGTGGAAGAGAAGGGAAAGCCAAGCAGTACGTTAAAGCAGTCCACTTCGTAACAGTAAATTCAGCAGTGGAATACACCCTTCGACACCAAAGAGATGTACCAGCTACGGCAGACAAAAGAGAAAACAGCCACAGAAAGAACATGAGCCGAGAAAGAGATGAGAATCAGTCCCGTGTGTAACTCGAAGACTGGACAAAACCCTGCTTGGGCGCTGCTGGTGAAATGAGCAGTTTTGACATTCAGGGCATTCCCGCTCTTCCTTTCCTAGAGTTCACCCTCGGACCGGAGGAAAAGCCCCTAGGGGCCCACTTACCTGAACAATGAGCTGTAAGGCCGCTTCCAACGCTTCACAGTCCTCCGTGGCGCCGTCTCTAGCGCTGTTCCCCCAAAGTCATTCCCCCTGACTTCAACTACTCGCGGGAGAGCGCGCGCGCGAGCAGCAGTTGCCTTGTCAGCCCTCCCCGGCCGCCAGGGTCCCTCACAGAGCAACTCGGGAGGGCTGAAAACTGCGGCTACGCGACTTTCGTTACCTTTTCGCGCTGGTCCCAGCTGTACTGCTTCGGTCGCTCCTCCTCGCCCTCGGGCTGCGACTCCTTCTCAGCCTTCCGCTTCTTGGAGAAGCAGCAGCCCATGGTCCCAGCCTGCGGGTCTCGCTGACTGCTGCTCCTCGCCGGGCTGCTTACTCCGGCACGTCCTGGCGTGCACTGTGAACCCCAGGTGCCCGAGCCCCTCAACTCTCCGGACACCGCCCTGCGGAACTGCCTGGCCGTCTGCAGCCTAGGTTCGCCAGCCAGGCCCCGCACCCTTCCTTCTTTTCCTCACAGTCGCCCTAACGACCCACCGCAGCCAATGACCGCTCAGCGCCCGGTGAACCAATCAAAGCCGTGCGAGCAGCCTGGCGAGGCCTATGAAGAAAGGTCGGCTTACGCACACAGCCAATCCATGCCCGACTCCTGCGCCAGCCCCCAGTGGCGGGCCCCGCCGGCTCGGGCGCACTCACCGTCGACCCCGCCCCGCCTAGGACTCCTTAGGGCGTTCTAGCTGCAGGGAGTCCCGGCTTGGCCGTTCTGCCTTTTTGCCCTTGGTTCTCAGTTTCCAAGTTTTAGGCGTGGGAGGGGTCGCCAGTCAAACAGTGGACTTCAGTTTTATGATGCAAGTGGTATGTGAGGAGGAATTGCTGCTGACAAAGGAAGGGGGCCCTGAAATTCGTATTCATCGCTACTCTTCTTCCGTCATCCAACTTCTGCCGCCCCCAGGTCTTCTGGACATTGTCGCCCGCTCAGGAAACTTCCCTTGACAGCCTCCCCGACCCTCTGCCCTTTCTATGCATTCTTTTTTTGAATTTTTATTTATTTTTATTTTTATTTTGGTATCATTAATATACAATCACATGAGCAACATTGTGGTTACTAGATTCCCCCAATTATCAAGTCCCCACCACATACCCTGTTACAGTCATTGTCCATCAGTGTAGTAAGATGCTATAGAGTCACTACTTGTCTTCTCTGTGCTGTACTGCCTTACCTGTGCCCTCCCACACCCTACGTTATGTGCGCTAATGGTAATGCCCCTTTTTCCTCTTATCCCTCCCTTCCCACCCATCCTCCCCAGTCCCTTTCCCTTTGGTAACTGTTAGTCCATTCTTGGGTTCTGTGAGTCTGCTGCTGTTTTGTTCCTTCAGTTTTTGCTTTGTTCTTATACTCCACATATGAGTGAAATCATCTGATACTTGTCTTTCTGCACCTGGCTTATTTCACTGAGCATACTACCCTCTAGCTCCGTCCATGTTGTTGCAAATGGTAGGATTTGTTTTCTTCTTATGGCTGAATAATATTCCATTGTGTATATGTACCACATCTTTATCCATTCATCTACTGATTGACACCATAGGTTGTTTCCATTTCTTGGCTACTGTAAATAGTGCTGCGATAAACATAGGGGTGCATATATCTTTTTCAAACTGGGCTGCTGCATTCTTAGGGTAAATTCCTAGGAGTAGAATTACTGGGTCAGATGGTATTTCTATTTTGAGTTTTTGGAGGAACCTCCATACTGCTTTCCACAATGGTTGAACTAATTTACATTCCCACCAGCAGTGTAGGATGGTTCCCCTTTCTCCACATCCTTGCCAGCATTTGTTGTTTGTCGTTTGGATGTTGGCCATCCTAACTGGTGTGAGGTAATATATCATTGGGGGTTTTAATTTGCATTTCTCTGATGATTACTGATGTGGAGCATGTTTCAGTGTGCTTGTTGGCCACCTGAATTTTGGGTGTTGAGTTGTGTGAGTTCTTTTTCTTTTTCTTTTCTTTTTTTATTAAGGTATTATTGATGTACACTCTTATGAAAGTTTCACATGAAAAAACAATGTGGTTACTACATTCCCCATATTATCATATCCCCCCATGCCCCATTGCAGTCACTGCTCATCAGTGTAGTAAGATGCCACAGAGTCACTATTTGCCTTCTCTATGCTACACTGTCTTCCCCATGATTGCCCCCACACCATGTATGTCAATCATAATGTCCCTCAATCCCCTTCCTCTCTCCCCACCTGCTCTCCACCACCTGTCCCCTTTGGTAACTGCTAGTCCCTTCTTGGAGTCTGTGAGTCTGCTGCTGTTTCGTTCCTTCAGTTTTTGCTTTGTTCTTATACTCCACAGATGAGTGAAATCATTTAGTACTTGTCTTTCTCTGCCTGGCTTATTTCACTGAGCATAATACCCTCTAGCTTCTTCCATGTTGTGGCAAATGGTAGGAATTGTTTTCTTCTTATGGCTGAATACTATTCCATTGTGTATATGTACCACGTCTTCTTTATCCATTCATCTACTGATGGACACTTAGGTTGCTTCCATTTCTTGGCTATTGTAAATAGTGCTGCGATAAATGTAGGGGTGCTAAACATAGGGGTGCATATGTCTTTTTCAAACTGGGCTGCTGCATTCTTAGGGTGAATTCCTAGGAGTGGAATTCCTTTATCAAATGGTTTTCTATTTTCAGTTTTTTAAGGAACCTCCATACTGCTTTCCACTCTCGGTGCTTTCTTAATACTTCCAAAATCGCACAAGTACTTAGTAAAATAATTGTGTGTCCTCTCCCCATTGGAACTGTGAATTTATTGGAAACAAAGTGCCTAAAAGGGCATGTAATTTTGAATTCCCTAGGCTTGACCCAGTTCCCTACTAGATGTTCAGTAAAACATCTGTCAGTTGATTGCACGAAGGAATGCTTGCACACTAGTGAATGAAGCATTTATAAGCTTTTCCATATTCCTTCCCAAAGGAAGTGACTGAAGTGTGTGTGGGATGAGGGGAGGATAGTTATGGTAAATGGGTTCTTCTCCTCATGGCATTTATAGCCTTGTTGAGGACATTATCATTGCCACATAAACAGTCAGATCTGTTCTAAGCAAATGGTGTAGGGTTTGTCTGAAGATTCAAAAAATGCATACACACTAAATATTAACATTCGTTATACTTGTGGGCTGAATTAACTACAGTACACATGTATTGCTTATGTAATAGAAAAGTTGTTGATTTAATTCTATGAGCACAGTATTTTGACATCTCTGAGGGACATCAAATGCAGATAAGTTCAAGTTTAAATTTGGTTGTCTTCTTAATTTCCCACACTTATTCACATCCAGCGAATATCCTAAATGAGTCTCTGACTTAAAGTGAGCATTAAGAATGTTCCCTTTTTTACTTCCTGTCCTTTATTGCTCAATCAGGAAGAAAAGTAAATGTGCTCAAGTATTAGAAATTACTGCAAATTTAAGTTCCAGGTCATAAGCAATAGGGTCTTTACCCAGTGCACATTTTTTTCTTCAGAGAAATGAAAGGTCTATGTGAAGATGTTTTAGATAAGAGCCTTAGAGATTTCATATTTATAGAATGTTAAAATTGTGACCACCATATAGTACAGTGAAGGAAACTGGTCCACAGAGGTGGACACAATGAGAGCGGTTAACAAGGACTAGAAAACCCCAGAGCCTGCATTGTCCAGTGCTATCTCCTATGCTAAATTTGTTGGTCTCTGCTTCATCTGAAGTAAAAGAGTAAAGAAGTATGTGCTTAGGCCTTCTGATGCCTGTGGGAACTCTGTCCAACAGTCATGCTGTTCCTCCTAATGAAAAAACAACAAAATTAATTTTAGAATGACAGTCCCTAAAACTCATAGTTTTGAAGTATTCATTAATGAGAAACTCAAACCTAAAACAAAATCTATATCCAACAGTGATCCAGGGACACTGAAATAAACATAAGGTCCCCTTCTTGTTAAATTCCATCCCACCATAACCCCTGACCAAAAATAAAATAAAGGAAAATTGAATTAAATTTCAATTTAAAAACTGGGAGCCAGAAAGCTAATTAACAGAGCTAGTGCTACAGCTCTCTCAAGCTCTTTCAGTCTTAGTCTTTCTTTCCTCTCTCCTCCTCTTTACTTTTCTCCTACCCTATGGGTTCTCATTATCACTATTTTTCTGCAAATCAGTCTCTTTACTTACTCATTGACATATATGGCTGAGAACAGCCATCCCACCCTGATTCCTCATGGCCTTTCTGTCCAAGTGCATGTTACAGTCTCTTCATATTTCAGATTCTTAAGGGAGATAACCAGATCTAACTGCTTGCCAATCAATAATAGAATGGTTACCTATTGGTCAAGTGTACACCCTTGGTCTAACTGTGACAGCTTCAAGGATGAGTTCCATATTACAAACATGGGTGAGGAGTGGATCCTGAAAAGGGAACATGTTTTGGTGGCTCTAACTCCACACAGTCCAGGCAGAAATTAGTTGTTCTTTCTGCCTATACCTCTCCTGCTACTTACACTCTTGTGACTTCTTTTCTGTGGGAAGCTGCCCTTCATGTTCAGCTTGATAGATATATTCAATTATATTAAAAATTGGGGGAGGGGTTCAAGATGGCGGCGTGAGTAGGGCAGCAGAAATCTCCTCCCAAAACCAAATATATTTTTGAAAATACAACAAATACACCTATTCCTAAAAGAGAGACCAGAAGATACAGTACAACAGCCAGGCTACATCTACATCTGTAGCACTCCCCACACCCTAGTACACCAGCAGGAGGAAAACAGTCAGAGTGGGGAGGGAGTGGAAACACAGGACTACTAAATAACCAGCCCTAGCAATCTACACTAGGGGCAGACACATTGCATGGTGTACTGGGTATTAGAGAAAAGAAAAGTAAAATCCGGGACTGAGACTGCGAGCAGATACCCACAGCTGGCTCCCCTGGGACAAAAGAAAAGGGGGCACTTTTTAAAAGTCTTAAAGGGACAAGGGCTCAACAGCTGAACAAAATCATCCCAGCAGGCTGGGAATCTAGAGGAACTTCGGACCCCCTAACTCTGTGGGGGGTAAAGCGGCCCTGAAACCCCTCATGGTGATAAGCAGCCTGCCATTTGATCCCCCCTGGCTGGCACTGCAAGTGGACAGGCTGACACACCACAGCTGCAGAACAGCTGGAGGGCGGCCCTGCCCACAGCAACCACACAGAATATCCACCCAGTGCACAGCTAACCAGGACAGGTAGTGGAAGCTGGAGGAAGGTCCAGAAGGCACAAAGGGGAGCTGTTCTCGCAGGAGAAAACACCCAGCACAGCTGTGAATCCCCCCTCCTGCACCGCTCTAGGGAAGCCCAAAGGCGGCCCCACACAGGGCAGCTCAGGAAATTATCCCAGAGACTGCCTCCTTGCATGCAGGTAACCAGCACAGGCAGCAGAAGCTGGAACAAGGTCCAGAAGGCAAAAAGGGGTGCCGTTCTAACTTGAGAACACACGTGATGTGGCTGCAACCCACTGTAGT